ATCCCCGTCGAGATTATCTGTTAACGGTTAGCTGAGGAAGAATTATAAACGAGAAAAATATCCTGACTTGAAACTTCGTTCCCTTTTAGTTTGTAGACACTTTACCTTGAACCTTTGGCCGCATATTTCCGAAGCGTATGTCACAGGTATAGATATTGGTTGATGGAAGTGAGAAACTCCACAGATATCAACTATTTCCTTGCATTTTTCTTTCTAGGGGGACTGGGCAACTGGTCAGATCGGGGATGCAGACAAGTAAAGATCGAAGCAGGCCGGATATTGTGTCACTGTGATCACATGACTAACTTCGCAGTCCTATTCTCTGCTGGTGGTCCAAAGAAGCACGTTGAGGAACACGCCAAGGCCTTGTCAATCATCTCTTACATAGGTTGTGCAATTTCATTGGTCGGACTTACCCTCACATTGGTGACGTATGCGATGTTCAGGTTTGTGCAATGATCCTATACTTAGCCAGTCCAAGTATCTATCTCTCCCTCTCTGAAAACCGAGCGGGACTTGCTAGAGAAAATAGGGATCAATGTCAGTTTCTGAGAAACTTCGCACCTGCCTCTCCCCTAACCCCACGTTAACTCTAACTTGTTTTCAGTTGACTGTAGTCGGGCCAGGTTGGTGCGCAGTTTCTCAGATACTGATATTGATCCGCCATTAATGTGGTGGCCAGTGATGTTTGATGTATCTAGCTCGTGATAACAAGATGCTAGATGATATTCAGTTCATTGTTAGAGTGATGATTTCCTCGATAACGGGCTCCTGTTCGCTTGTATAATTCGTGTCGTATACGTGGCTGAGGAAAAAAATTTAAGTCTTAATTTTACGATCGAAATTAAAACGTGTTTACTGGATTTAACCTCACTCCTCCGCAGGAATTTACGTAAAACCAACCAACAGCCAATCCTGATGAGTTTGTGTGTGTCACTCATGCTACTTCTGATCGTGTTCATCGCGGGCGCAGCGCAAACAGAGAATCTGTTGGGTTGTCGTATTGTAGCAATTCTTCTCCACTATTTCGCTCTGGCGACCGTGATGTGGATGGGTGTGGAGGGATATAACATGTACATGTCCTTTGTTCAAGTGATGGGCACTTATCAGTCAAAATTCATGCTTAAGGCGTCCGCGGTGGCCTGGGGCGTGCCTGCTATTACAGTGCTCGTCACATTGTCCGCTGCAACAAGTTACTATGGCAACAAAGATGTGTAAGTCATGGTGCTTTAGTTATTGTGTTTCTCAAAACCCAGCATCATTAAACCTTTCATTATAAATTTCGATACTATATTCGGGTTTCTCCCAAACCGCCATCCTTAAATGTTTAGTTACCGTCCCATGTGTCTCTCAAAAGAGGTGATGCGGTGAGCAAGATTTAATGTAATACATGCGCGGCAGAAGTGAAAAGTCAATGGTGGCAAGATCGCTTATCATCATTCAACAATGATAATTTCAAATCCACCCGTCGTGAAATATCTTTAAGCTTATTTAGGCTTTGTTGTAAAAAAAATCCGGTCTTGTCTCAATCACACTTTGTACTCCCTATCAAAAATTTCTGAATCCGCCCCCAAACTTTTTCCAATATTACGCGCAACAGTCTCATTGCTGATAAGGAACAAAATAATTATATTAACCTGATTCCTCTTTTTATTTTCGCGCAGTTGTGTACTTTTTGGTGTGCCCTTCCAAGCTGCTCAGTTTGCTCCTATTCTTCTCGTAATCCTCATCAACTTCGTAGTTTTTATTCTGGCCATTCGTGCTCTTAAGCATTCTGGTGCTCTGGTCTCTGCGGAGAAAAAATCTTCATCGTACCGAAGAGCACGCACCTCCATCGCAATTTTGCTTCTATTGGGATTGACCTGGGGCTTTGGAGCCTTGGCTGTTTCAAGTGCACAGCTGATCTTTGACTATCTTTTTTGCATATTTAACTCACTTCAAGGATTTTTGATTTTCTACTTTCACTGTTTACGGCACCAAGAGGTACGTAGTCAATGGAAGTGGTTCTTGCTTGGTAAAGGATTGAATTTCCGGCCTACGGAGACCGATTCTCAAACGGGATACCCTAGGTCGAATACGCAGGGAAAGAATGCTGTTTATACACCATCTTCGTCGTTGATGATGGATAAACCACCACGAAAAGAGACAGTTACTTTTGTTGCTGCTGAATCTCCGCCGTCGTTGGGTTCACGTCCTGATGTAGTCCCAGATCAAGTTTGAGTGCGCACACTTAGTCAGAGGAACTTTGAATTAAATGAATTTCTACTAACAAGGACAGTTCGAAGGATCTTTTCCATAGAGTACCTTGCCAGAGGATAGTTAGCCCGTGACAGGTTTTCTGTTAGTTGGAACAAACGAAAAAGTGGGCGCACAGAAAATGGCGAAGGTCAGGCAAAAAAAAAAAAGCCGTCGAACTGGGGCTCCGTCGCGGGATGTCATTGCCGGCTAATGTCCCAGCCGGGTACAACAGGGTTCATGTACCTCTTAATTCCCAATGGATGCGAAAGACTTAATTGGAAGAAAAATAATGTCTTTGTTTTTACCCGTCATAAAAACGACTAAAAATGAAAGCGTAGCCGCTATTTACAGTCTAATTCTGTTTTTTTTCCTTTATTCATTTAAGAGATGCAAGAAGTTTGTTTGTTTGTTTGTTTGTTTGTTTTTAAAGAATACTAAGAGGCTTCTTGTATAGGAGTACATATATATAATCGCTCATGCATAAACAGTGTCTCAAAATGGGTTGAACCTGATTGAAGTATGCAATACAGGAGACCATATACCATTGTCGAGTCACATTTCTAATTTTTTTAATATTATTTATCCGATTTCTATATATCTTAGAACTGTCACCTGAACAATTTGTGTCTAGGACAACCAGGAGCCCATTACACGGAGCTTCCATACCAATTTTACCCTTGAGTAAACCCTGTCCCGTATCTTTTTATTTTTAGAACTGAGATATATGGGTGTTATTCAATTTCCTGCGAAAACACGCTGACGTTCGCATAACACCCCCCAAAAAATGGTAAACTTTCCACGCTTTTCGCCATTATTAAAATGCTTTCGTGCCGCCTGCATGTGACGTAACAATAAAGGACCACAGCTCTTTTATGATTGGCTAAACACCCGCGAAAAACCCCGTGGAAGGCGCCTCTAAAAATAAAAAGATACGGGACAGGGTTGACTCAGAGGGTAAGTATGAAAGAAAGAAGCTCCGGATAATGGGCTCCTGGGACAGCTTATTATTTATCATCATAGGGGAGGGGGGAGGTAATTCTGGAGGATTTATAGACTTATGATGACTTTGAGGCCAGCCATTTACAATCATAGGATAAGAACATGTGTAACCAGAAGTGGAATTGATACAAAATAATAAAACGTAATGTCCAACGCCTCGATATTTTAATGAAAATTTCATCGATTCAAATCCATTCTTAGTTTTCCGAAGATTACATTCCAAAATGTCATAGATATAGATATTTATATATTTAAAATATAGAATAATTTTTACAGCCTTATTTTGTAAGCCCGATGAGGGACATGATTCTAGTTTTGATTAATTTAGATCTCGATGATTAAAAAAAATTCTTAATATAGATTATTGTAAGTTTATTGTAAGTAGTTTTACATTCTTGCTGATTAAATTGACGATGCATTCCTGTAATCTTTTGGATGTTATTCACTCCCACCCCTCATGACAAAGCCTGAATTTAGGCCGGGGGGGGGGGGGCACTGTTAAGTATATGTTGGTGAGCATGAGCCAGCGGAGGGGGTGACATTTTCAACAGAGTAATCAGAATGAGGCCGCACATTTTCTGGGTTTTGGGGGTTCTGGTGAGCAGAAACGAAAAGATTCTTGGTTAAAAAGCTTCTTCGGTGTTACCAAAAGTGACTGAGATGGGCTCTATAATTAGCTACAGAATAGGCCATAATGGGGTAGGGGTTCCGAGAGGTCATATATATATATATATTGATTATATTGATTATAGTCTATCCTTGCGGTATAGCGTTCGATGCTTTCGCAGAGCGTGGTATGTGTGAAACTTGGACAAATCGGTAAGACATAATTTTCTGTGACTCTGAGTTTTACGCTTACGCGATCATCAGAATGACCTGTCTGATGATCGCGTAAGCGTAAAACTCAGAGTCGCAGAAAAGTTGTGTCTTATTGATTTGTCCAACTTTCAGATATATATGTATATATATATATATATATATAATATATATATATATGTATATATGTATATATATATATATATATATATATATATAATTTCCCGTATTTCTTTCTTTTCTTTTTCTTTTTATAGCCGTTTTTCGAGTAATATTTCGCAATCCCCAGAGAGATGCTTATGTTTTTGGAATTCGTTATAGGTCCTCCTGACATAGAACTAATTTCCCGCCGGTCTCTTGCACAGTTCGTTAAATCTCTTAGATATGAGTGAATTTCTAAAATGACCGGAAATCAATGATGAAATTTACCCCTGTCGAGGAAAGTTTGGAGTTAATGTCGAAGGATGGCTGACGTGCATCAGTGGTAGCCTCTTTTTGGGAGAGATTAAGAGAGAGCGTTGGAAAACAAATTTAGGGGGAGGGGGTGAGCAAATGATCCTTAGGCAAACAGTTCTAGATTTCGGATTTAATTTCTAGAGAGTGGCATCTCTGGTTTGGATGTAGATTAATGTTGCGGTTTCTTCATGAATTTGCGATTCGTTCTCTGCTTTATCGTGCAATACATACCATCACCGCACTCGAGAATAAAGAAAATTTCTACAGCTTTAGAATTTCTGTCTTTTAGCGCATGTATTATAACTTGGATGTATTTTTGTAAAGGAAAGCTATCAGTGCTACAATAAACAATATGTGAGGTGGATGAAATAGAGAGAGAGTTATTTCGAAAGTAATAAACAACCATGATGTGTTGTCATTGAAATTGGCCAATCGCAACAAAGTTCAACCATCACGTGATAATTTTAAATCGTACCGGGAAGAGCTGGACGCTTCGAACAGATTTGAACGAGTTTTGAACGTGCTCCACAATTTTTTCAGGAATTTGCAGATTTACCTTAGAAGCACGATATTGAATAAAATGGCTTGTTAAGATCTTCATTCAACATGGCAACTTCAAACTGTGAAGGTAAGTTTTCACGAGCTTTCTGAGACTGTGTTTTTATCCCGGCATTGACCTTTGTCTGGATGAAGTGGGGGATCGCTTGTTCGTGGAAGCTTTTACGAAATCTATATTTAAGAATTATAAACCCTGTGTTAAAGTTGATAAGTTTTCATTATCATTGAATAAAAACCTTGGCTTCTACGTTTCAGAAGGTCAGTCATGATCAGAGAGATTTTTCATGAGCGTAAGATTACGTTTAACTGTCTTTGGCAATGTCTACTTCCATTTAGACAAACTGTTTGAATTCAGAATTCTGCCTTTGTAGCGTTTCCCAGTGCTATTGGCGGTGTGTCCAGTCTCATTGAAGACGAGAAGTTCGATTTTGACGTGCCACTCTCGCCAATTGATTTTGATGTTCGGTAAGTTACACTGCATGTGTGTATCAATTGTTGGTTATCAACCAGAAAGTACGTAAATAGCAATTGTTCCCACAAGATCGGTTGAATTACAGTTGCTTACATGCCATGGCTCCAGCAGGAAATATGAAATATGTTTGTTATTTCTATGTTTTTCGACACACAAATGCGCGTTAGGTCTTAGACATATACCGGTGGTTGAAGGAGTATACAAAAGTACAAATTTTTCTCGAAGTCTCAATGTAAAAAGGAAGTCAAATTCCTTACAAGCTTTACTCTCCAACAAAGCTCTAATATGAATGCAACCATTTGGCGGCAGGGGGGGAGGGGCATTGGGGCACTCAAATGAAAGGGGAAGGGATACTTGTCAGAGTGTGCAAAATCCCATTGCAGCTATGAATATCTTGAATTTTTTTTATAACATCAATACCTAAAGAAATCACAGTAAACTGTCTCTGTTTCAAAGTGGTCTCTTGTAGGAGTGAAAAAAAGCTTGGCTTGTGCCAAGAGTTTTCTTCCTGAGGGACTTATTCTAAAATTTCCAATGATCATTCTCTTCTGTTTAGAAGTCTACCCTTCTTTCCAAGACTAACCAGCAACCAGGCATGCTCCTCAATGAAGAAAAAACCCTCCTACTCAAAATTCTGCCTTCACCCAAGAGTTATCTTAAAATTATTTTACTGGTATATGCTTTTGAAGAACAACTTACTGAAAAAGATTGAGGCCTGTACTAGAAAATATTGGCCATCAGTCTTGGCAGCATGGACCAAGGGTGATAAGGTCTATACAAAGTTATCTATTAGGGCCAATATTTCCTAGTATGGCTCATGCAAGGAAGATTGATAAGAAGTTTATTGCATGGCACTTAGACCAAAGTTGTTTATTTTGGATTTTCCAGCTTTCACAAATAAAAGTGCAAGGATAATGACCTTTTTTTTACAAAATCTCGACCAATCAAAAACCAATCAGAACACTCAGATTTACCTCAAGACTACCTCACCATATAATAATACATAATGCTTTTTCTCCTTTTTCTTTATCAGAGAGATTAATGCCGATGAAGAGGATGAGGATGAAGTTTTCTTTGGTCCTGTGGGTCACAGAGAAAGATGTGTTACTGTTAACAGTGGTGTTCAAGATGATGAAAAATTTAAGCCCTTGAGTCCCCTCAATGGTGAACAAATTGCAGAACTGTTTAAAGAAGCCACTGCAGTGTCAATATTCATCAAAAATTCTTCCTTAACCCAGAATAATGATAATATGACAGATGAAAAGGAGAATCGTGATATATGTAAGCTTTTATCACAAACATTTACTGTCCAAGATGATAAAAAAGCTGTGTCAGCTGAAAGAGATCAAGAAAATGACCAAAGAACTACAAAATCTGCTTCTTCCCCTGAGTCAGCTAGCAGTATTTCACCACAGTCAACAGAATTTCCAGATGACATGAACTTCCCTGTTACTCCAAGGAGAATTTTGCAAGAAAGCAATACCCAGAGTGGAGTGTTTCAGTCACCCTTTAAAGCACGAAAAGCGCGTCCTTTGCAAAATACTTCTAAGTTTGTTCAATCCAAGCTTCCTACAACACAGATGACTCTGAAGACTCGTAGTTGTTTTAATTCTGTAAGTATGATTGCAGTGCTGCTTCACTAATGTTTCTCAAACATTCAAAACTTTCAAAATGTACCTACAATTTTGCTTAGGATTGGCAGCCCAGTCACTACAAGTACACTTTAAGCTGCTGATTGTTTCGTACATTTTAAAATTACAGTGCTACAGTTGAACCTGTGTTAAGCAGCACAGTATTAAGCACTCACCTTCTAATAAGCAGTCAGTTGTCAAAGATCTGAAATTGTTTCCCCTTAATTGCTGTAACCTCTATTAATTTGTCACCTCCATTAGGTGGTCACAGTGAGTCACCCTTCAGTGAGTTTCAATGGCCTTTTTGTAGTCCCCCACCTGTACTGAATGATCAGCTAACCTAGAACCACTTAACCCTTTAACTCCTATGAGTGACCAAGACAGAATTTCTCTTTACAATATCAATACAATATCAACCAGACAAGTGATGAGAATAAAGAAAAATATCAATTTAGGGATAATTCGTAGATCCAATGCTAAATTCTCTGAACTAACATTATAAGAATTGTATGGCTGACAGTGAGAAGAATTACAGATTTGATCTGGGAATTAAAGTCAAAATTCTTTAAAGTGATTGGCTATCACCAGCCCGATTTGAACACTAATAAGGACAGTGTACGTTCTGACTTTAACTCTGTTTTTGTGTCATTTCTTCAAGCTGTTCAATCTGTTGTTGATTATTCAATTTAGGGCAGTGGCGAGTACAAAGCTCAGATTGTTATTAACTCTTGCTCGTATTAAATCATTTCAGCCTATAAAAGTAGAACATCTGTATGGTCTGAGACGGAAAACTGGTGGTTCAGAGGATGAAAAGGTAAATACAGCTTAATGTAGACACAAAGTAAACCTCAAATAACTTAACTTCATCAGTAAGAAGAGGGTTTGTACCTGGCCTGGAAAGTCATGGAATTTTGGTTTAGGACCTGTAAAGTCATGGAAATTTGTGGAAAATCTGCGGTCATTCTTATGAGCTCAAAGCAGTGGAGATCTGTCTTTGAAAAATTAACCAATAATTCAAAATGTAAGATTTGATTTTAGTAGAAATAAACAGTAGCAAGTGTTGTAAGATCTACTCTTGCAGATGTTTTTGTTTGCACTGCATTCTTGCGTGATATTTATGCAAATTTGTGAACCATTTGGAAAGGACCAAAAAGTACACTTGCTTAACTTAGGTAATTTTTTTATTTTTTGAAAAGAAATGGAAAGTCATGGAATTCTCGCTGCTTAAAAAATGCACAAACCCTATAGGAGTACAGGCAATTTTTGTTTATGGGTATTGGAGATAGTTAATACACTTTTCAATTAAAGCCCTGAAGTGGTTTCAAAATGTAGTAAAGACCCTTATGTTTGTTGAGCTGGGATTAATTTTTCTTCCAATTCATAGATTCCACGAGTTTCACAAAGTGGAATAAAACCTCCAGGATTTGGTTGTCAGCCAAGACGACGTCGCACAAGTTCATCTTCCTCTGTGTCTTCCACTTCTAGTGCTGTATCAGTTCAATCAAGTGACATGAATGAGACTTTTGTCGTCTCCAAAGGTTCTTCTTCTGACATTTCATCTATTCCAACTGTCTGTGCACGCAAAGTTCCAGTTACTAAGGCCTGCTTGAAGCCAGTAAATGGAAATAGTGCATTGACAAAGCCTACCTTTTCCAGGCCTAAAGGACGACCTCAGCCAGTGAAAGCACTTCCACAGCCAGTCACTCACAGCAAGAAAGCTCCACCAACACCAACTGATGTTCTGAAATCAAAGAAGGTGCCTGGCCACACCCCTGGGCGTCGCTGGAGTGGAATGTGCTCTGAGCAAATGGTCACCAGGTCACAAACACCCAATAGCATACAGAGGTCCAAGTCATTTAATACACCTGTAAGGCAAAGTAGGAGTAACACTCCAACAGGCCAGGCTGTTAGACGAGCACAAACTCCCACTAAAGGGAAAAGCACAACAGTGCCTTTGACTCCAAGGAGAAGAAGTAGTGTCACACCAAGGGCTAGTGCCTCAAAAGTTCAAACATCTGTGCAAAGGCGCAAAAGTGGTACAACAGCAGCTGTATCCTCAAAGGCTCACAACAAGAATGCCCCCCTACCATCTACACCTGAAAATGCATGTTATGCATCCACTGATAATGTTACTCCACCAAATCCAGGTAGAGATCATGATTATTGATGCAGTTAAATGCAATTTAATGGAGTTAATAACAAAGAGCATAAGCATTCTCTAGTGGTCAGCGGTTTTCTGCATATGCACATGTGTCAGAACTCCAGAACTCTATGTGTGTGCTTTGAGAGTGAACTTGCAGCATTGTGAGGAGTGCCAGCTCATCATCCAGGCAGTTTTCCCCATCCCTTCCCACTCTCTTTCCACTGTTTATTCATTGTTACAGGTGCCTGTTTCCCTTTCCTGTGAGGGGGCTCATAGCTGAGTTGCTAGGATTTGCCAGCCACAGGAGAAGTCTCCATCTAGGAGCTGGCTGTTAATAGTAGAAGTTCCTGGATGTTTCAGGCTCCCTACCTCCATTTAGTGATGCTGTTTTTAACTTAGTGGTAAACTGCCCTTCCTTGCAGAGCAAAACTCAATGCATGATTAGTACACAGGTATGTTTCTGGGGTTGAAGGAAGCCAATCTCCAACTTTATTAGCACACAAAATGAACTTTGAATCACTTTTGTTTTGACAAATAACGATGGGTACTCAGCCAACACTTAACATAGTGGGTTTGGGAATCAGATCAGAGAATTAAGAATTCCAAGGCTAAATTTCAGTGGGCTTGGAGTGAAGCTTTTATGTAACATATGCTCCTGTTACATAACACTTTCCCCCACCCCCACTAGTTTTTTTAATGGAAAGCCCTTGTAACTGTCAGTTTCTTTACCCTTACCTACTTCAAGTCTATTTACTACTATTAATTTTTTAGCAGCTTCCAGTAATGTTTCAAAAAGGAAGTCACTGAGTGCAAATGGCCAAAAAAGATGCTCTCTTCTGCCAACTCCTGTGAAAAACAGGATCACTAGATCCCAGTCACAGAAGTCTAGATCATTCAGCATCAACAATGAGCCTCCTGGACCCCTTTCATTCAGCTCCTCCCCGTCAGCTGAAGTCAAACCAAGGAGTTCTGCCTCAAAACCAGATCCAAATCTGCAACTATCACACACAAGATTATCTGATCCATTTTCTCCAGCTTCCCAGTTAGTTTCCATCGATCCGAAAAGTGTGAACACCAGTGACCATTCAGTTGTTGGAAATTTGATTGAATGGTCACCTGCTGTCGCCAGGGAAGTAAGTGCAATTATTGTAACACCACAGGTTTAAAGATTGGCATGGTACCGAAGATTGGGGAATGATAATAATTATAATGATGATAATGATAGTCTACAGTAACCCTCAAAAAAGACTAGTAAATTTACAGTCTTGATCTTTGATACTATTGATATTCCTGACAGTAATGATGAGACACCTGAATTAAAGAAGGCTTCACAAAACAAAGCTTCATTCTTATTAAGACCTTTTATTTGTTCTCTTTGTTTCCCTACCAGTACTCAACAGTTTACATCATTGTTTCTTCTCTTATTTTTATTGCAGGGAAATCTTATTGACATATGAAGATATCAGAGGAATATATCTGGCATTTAAAGGCCAGATTAAGAGAAAGACCAGTTTTTCACATACAACAGTACAACAATCAGGACACAATGCTCTTCCAAAGAAACTTAATGTTAATAAAATGTGCACTTGTATTTTTTTTTTTTCACAAGTTGTCAAAGGAAATCACCTTAATGATTGTCAAACACATGTAGCATTGAGTTTTGTTGGGTATGCAATGTTTTACATGTATTGTTTTGTTAAAGGTACTAACTGGATTTTGTCTTGACATTAATACTACTGAATGTGGCTCACATTGAGATTATAAAGTGTACGGTCATAACTTGGTACAGTGTACATCATTCAAAAATTTAACCATGGAAAGTTACAATGTAGCTGCTGCTGTTATGAGCATTCAAAATTAATATTGTTGTGATACTTCAAGTCAACACTCCACTACATCTGTGGGGCTGCAAGCTTGATATACTGGTATGTTGAAGAATTTTAGAGATAAACCCTTTAACTCCCAAGATCAGCTTGTTACTTCTCCTCACTTGCTGCTATACAATTCCTTGTAAATTAGTTACAAGACTTTGTTGTTGGAACTAGATAACAATTTCTACCTGATAAGTTTGAGTATTGTTTATCACCTGTTTGCTGGTTAATGTATTGATTTTATCGAGAGAGGTCATGTTATAATTACTTCTTGGAGTCAAAGGGTTGACTGATGTGCCAAAGGGCACAGTTTTGAATTTCCAAGCCTGTATGTTTACAAAAGTAGGGATTGTAAAATAAACAATATATTCAATTTCATTTGATCACTTGGCTACCACATAAACCTTTGAACTTCCTTAGGACTGTGAGCCCAACGAAATGGTTTTTCCAAGAACAAGTAGAAAGTAATTGCATTCACAGCTATGTATAACATGCATTCTAAAGCAACTCTTGTATAAGACCCTAGTGGACTGTGAAGCCGATAGAAAATGTATGGGATGATGTAGTACCGAAATTCCAACAGTTTTTGGGGGACAGTAACCATGGAGACACAGATGTAGAACATAGCTAGCCATGTTCTTGGTTGTTTTAGAGATAATTGACGGTGAATGCAGTATCCTGAAAATATATACAAAGGTGTAAGAGCATATTTCACCACCCAATGCCTGGCATAAAGTTTCCGCCAAATATAAAATGGGTAGTGCCGATTGTCGGCTAGAAGATACTCATGCACATATGTAAATTTGTAAATGATTAAGGTTATAGAAACTGCAGATAAAAGTAACCCAATGGCGTACAATGGTTTCTTGACAATGTTTTTAAAGGTTTTCAAATAGCTTACAATGTCTCGTGGCAAAAGCAGGTGGGAGCTACTGAATGCAAGGGTAAAAGTCAGAAGGTAAAACAACTGTGGGAAATTTAAGCATGCCTGGTGCTGACTCTTATCGCCGACTACGATTCCACCATTCATGACCACAAAAATAGCAAAACATGCTACAACAAAACCATAGGCCCAGAGATATCTGAACACCTTGAAAAAGTTGTTGTAAAATGATTTGATATATTCCTTTAGTTCTGTGAAAAATGTTGATGAAGCTGCTTCTTTCTCAACTGATTGTAAAGTTCTTAATGCAGTCACTCCAGCTGTGAACACCACCCATACGACATTGGTTTGACGAACGGCAATTGATGTAGCACCAATCAGGGCTGCAATGAAATGGTTTCCACGGAGACTGAGGTAATACAATAGAAGAACAAAGAAGGTGGAGCTTGAATCAGTGTAGTAGAGGAATGTAAAGAAATACATCACAGGGAATAATGCCAGGACCAAAGCTGTCACAGAACATTTAATGGGTGAAGAGTTCTCTTCTTCTGTGGGTTCATCTCCCTGTTCAGAAAAAAAAATGTTATGAATGACTACCAATCAAACCACCAGGCTTACCATCTTTATTTACACGTACATTGTTATCATTTATAAGCATCAGTGACACTCTTATCCTCAGCTTTAATCTTTATTTACATCCAAGTGTGCCTCTGTCATTAACTGAATAGCATCTTCAACAATTTCCTTCATTTGACAATCAAGCTAAAAGTAGTAACAATTTTGAGGCTGAGTTCACCAATGTTATTCACTGAATAACATCTTTCACTCAAACCACCAGGCTTAAATTTACCATCTTTATTTACACGTACATTGTCATCATTTATAAGCATCAGTGACACTCTTATCCTCGCAGTATGCAGGAAGTTTGTCACCATGGACCTTAATGAACAGCTCAGCTTGCCATGAGTTTCCCATGGCTCAGTAAGAAAGCACTTAAAGTGTACAGAGTACTAATCAGAAAGTCACTGGTTTGAATCATAATTAGGAGAACTTGGAGTTTTTTCTCCAAGTGTGCCTCTGTCATTAACTGAATAGCATCTTCAACAATTTCCTTCATTTGACGATCAAGCTAAAAGCTCTTATTATACCAACTACACAACACTTTCCAAATTTCTGATCCATGCAGAATGCTTAATGCATATGAACATAGTCATGACAGTGAACTCAACAAGGAGTTCTCTGTCGCTCTTTTGTTTAACCCTTGACACCCTAAAATCAGTATGTATTTTCTCCTTACTGTTCTCAACACATTTCTTGAGGTGCTAACACGGAGAAATTACGGAAAAATTGCCGCACAGCCCTATACTTCATTATGCATGCACGTCTTATTGGTGATACACTGAATAATAAAGCCCCATTTATGGATGCATAATGAAGTATGGGGCTGTGCGGAAATTTTGCCAAAATGACTTAACAATCAAGAGCCTCTTTAGATGGTGATCTTATTCCTTCATTCTCGTGACCGTAATATTTCATTCAGGGGTGATTATTGTAAGGAGAAATTAGATGCGACTCACTCCAAAGGTCGAAGGGTCGACATGGGATCTCAGATGTGAAGGTCCAGCTTTCGATACCTAGTGAGTGACTCAGACCCCACCGCCCCCCTTTCCATTACATAAGTGTTCTGATACCGCACGAAGTGATTGCGTAAGAAAGTACCTGAGTACTTTACACTATTCATAAAATTCGAAAACCGTACCTGACGTGACTGTCGAGTATTATCGCAGTGAAGAATTAACAGGATCTGCCTCAGAAGCAACACGTTACCCATTAGGAACAAAGTATTAACCATCCGTAGAAAAAACGTCGAACACACTACACGTAATTCGTGTCCAACGAAAAACGCCAAAGTTCGCAAACATGCGAAGGATATAAAATACAATCCTGGCAATGTTGTTATCTTTGGATCCCATTCATCAAACTTGTAGTTGCAGTATTTCTGGGCCTGGGGGACATGGAAAATCTCATCCATATACGGCTGTGACTGTTTTGTGTTAAATTGTAGGAAAATACCCATAGAAACTGCAAATAAACTGGAGTACCATGCAGAGAACGAAAAGGCCGCCATTTTGAATGAAAGCACCAAAGCACTATGGGAGCAGACGGACTAGCTCCAGGGTCTTGGAGTAAGCAGCTAACTTTTACCTGCACGTGCCCACAACAATAATTTCTTTACTTCAATGCAAGTACTCGATGCGAGGGGGGGCCCGTTGTTCCTCTATACGTTTCTTATGGTAATGACAGGAGTTTGTCTATAATGGTAGAGAATTTCTTAAGCTGGCGATCATTTCCTTTCCTCTCCTGACATTCATGCTTGATCAGTAGCGATACTGTAAAAAGAGAATTTAGATTATAGTCACTCTCAGGGGTTAAATCGACGACAGGGTTACGAGGTTGATCACCGAGGGACTGGAAAACACCTTCTATCTATCTATCTACTTCTTTAAAATTCCGACGAGTTTTAACAAATATGTGTTTCTCAATGTCAATACTACAAGTTAATGGCACAGAGCACCCAGTCACGGAAATCTAACGTGAGAATATGGAAACAGCCCCTAAAGTAATTATGCTTGAACAGTACACTTTATGATCAAAGGTACCACCACCACTTGAAAATTTTTTATTGCTTCGGGGGAGGGAGACAGAGGATTTTGAGGGATCACAGGGGAAGGGGGACAATCGGTCCTAACAGGATTTAAAGGAAAACTAAAGAAAATTGGCACAGCTAATGAAGGGAGGGGGAAGGGGGGGAGGGGAGGGAGTAAGGGATCATCAGAATACTGACTTGGAGATCAGATAACTTCTATTGGGACAAAACCAAAATTCTTCGCCCACCCCCTCTCAGGCCATAAATAATGACCGCCCAGTACGATACACATTTTACTGAACGTTGCTAACTCAAATTGCGTGTCATTTCAGGAAATGGTTAAGACTTATCAGTATTTAAACTCGATTTATTGCGAGGGGTGTTTTTGCACCCCTATAAGTGAATATTGTGAAACAAAGTACTTTAAGCCTGTTAAAACCCTTAGACACGGATCTAAGCTTCTTAGAGTTTGTCTAAGGTTAAAGCTGGGCAGTAAGATTTGATAGCTATGAAAAGCGTGCACACGAAGGAAAAAAAACTCGCTAAAGCGATCGAAATTACCCACTCAAAAACTAAGGTAGTTGCCCCGTGGCTCCATGATTGCGTGAGTTTTACCCTCTCATGCCGTCAGCTAATGAAATTAAATGAACTGCAGATCACTTCCGTCAATAAGCAGCATTTTAGGCCAATCACACGCTTGCGTGTTTTATAGTGAATTTAATTAGCTTCGACTGAGTAATAAGGGTCATTTACTCATCTCGACAAGGTGCTTGTTGGATAGCAGGTCTTTGCCACTTAGCGACTGAGCCTTCTTTGCACTCTCTGCATAAATCACAAGACACAGGTAAATGGTATGCTTTGTAGCTTTATTTTGAATCGTGAAACATCCGACAGATATGTTTTAGATTTGTTCAGAACGACAGCGTGCTAAAGTTGTTAACTTCGCATTTGTTTACAATGTCAATTACAGCCTTGATTTGTTGGGCAATCTCTGATCACTTGTTAACGCACCCAGGGTGCTCTATGCGGCCTAAATAAAACAGCTTGCAGCAGTAAACGGTTTTCATTCTCGATCACAAAGTTATCCAAGCTTCAGATCACTCGGCTTTGTCTACAGTAAAGAACATTTTCATTATGATAGGGGTGCAGGACAAAAGAGAGTTGACTAACCTTGTTTCA